GTCGATGCGTCGTGTTGGTATTGTGGACTGTGGGCTGAGCATCGCTTTACGTGGACTCCTACTGCTGGCCAAGGCCCATTTGCTGGGACTATCGATCGATTTGAGATAACTCCGTCCATGGAGGTTCGTTTACACTTATCCGTTGACGACTGGAGAGGTGTCGCCATGGAGCGACGAGAGAATGATGGAGATGAAGTGGCCTTTAGTGCGCTGCGTGTCATTCCTCCTGGTGCTACCTGTTATTTCTTCACAGCTGTCGACACAGCTGCTGGTCCGAACAGTAGTAACAATGTGAGCTTTCATTACGTCACCTCGCGTCCTAGTCGGCCTGTTCAGCGTCAACACCGCTTACCACCTGGCAAGTCTGGTACATGTAGCTTGGGTGCGAGTGAAGCAGGCGAGGCCACAGGAGCAACGCAAGGAGGCGTGTTTGGTACTTTGGAGCGTCTGAACGTCATTCGTCTCAGCGAACGAGGAGGGCGAGATCCCTGCAACACTCTTGTTCCGCGCAGCTCAGGAAAGAACAACGGAAGACGAGGGAAATGGGACATCAACAAGAGTGTGTTTGCACGGCGTAAGCGCGAGTCTGAATGTCGGAGTTTCGTGGATACTGACGTATTTATCGCGAAAGCCTGTGCTGCAGACTGGAAACAGTGCAAAATTGATCGATTCGTGAAGGATTCTTCACGGAGACGCGAAGTGGAAGTTAGCGTTACCCGTTGGTATCGCACAGTTTGCAACGCCTACCGACGTTACTGTGGTCACAACGTGTTGATGAACTTGGCGCCTTTGGGATCGCTAACGTCAGCAGCAGCCATTCAACTGCAGAATGATATAACCTGTATACCTTGGTCAGGCTACACCGAGTTTCTTTCGGAAGCTAAAATACTGGATGAAACATCAGAGTACTGCTCGTTACCCGACCTGGAGAATGTGTTTGTGGCTGCAAACCTCGAGCTCACCCAGGAAGCCAAGGAAAAAGACAACCCGGACCGCAGTCTTACGAGGTTTGAGTTCTTGGAATGTATTATCCGAATCGCCACGAACAAATACTTTAGAAGTGCGTACCCCCTCCAACCTGTTGTTGTTGCGGTGACTCGAATACAGTACTTACTCGGATGCTGTTCTTGTGGCAGCCAATGTGTGTGATACGCCCGCCAAAGCCGTAGACAAGCTGGTGCAGGAAAATATACAGCCCGTGACCCCAGATGACGCAAACGAATTTCGTTCTCGCTTCCTCTACACAGAAGAGGTCAGCGATGCGTTTACGGAGCACATTACTCTGGTATGTCACTATACGGCTCTCGTCGGCCCCGCACACGGAATTTGACGTTGTTTATGTGCCGTAGCTACAAGAGTTATACGATGCCAACATGGGCAAATACTGCAAGCCAGGTGAAAAGAAAGGAATGCATCTGGTCGAATTCCTCCTTCTCTTGTAAGCTATGAGTTCATGAGCCTTTTTTTTCACGAGCATTATCGACAACTTTTTGTCTCTTGTTCTGTCCTTTGTTTTTGCAGAGAGAAGTACCAGGTTTTCTCCGACTCGTTCCGTGTGCGTGATATAAAGGATCCGTTCTTGGCGTGCAAATTGATGGTGCTGGATGAAATGACCACTGTAGGCCACAAGAAGCTTTTCCTCACCGACTTCATGGAGATCATCTTACGCGTCAGTGTCGTACGCTACCCACCTCGGACTCTTACGGTGGATGAAGTTGTACGCAGCTTACACAAGCTGCTGGTCAACCACTTTTACAAACACGACGCTCTGGTGGGCCAATTCTGTGAAGCGATCGACCAGGCTCTCGTCGAAGATCGTCTTGAGGCCTTTGCAAATGCTATCAACTCGCAGCGAAATCATTTACAAGCTCCTGCGTCATCAAACACTCGGAATCGCGGGGCGGGGCGCTCAGCAGGACCCGTGCAGAGGGCAATTATCGCCGAGGAGAGTGCGTCAGATACGGATGAGGACAGCGAATCAGAAGGCACATCGGGTGTGATAATCATTTGAAATCACAAAGCTCAACCGAGCAAACGATGCCACTGTCGGACACGAAGAGCTTTTATTAATAGAGCAGCACATAGGTGGAGACTATTTCTTAAAGTTTTGAGGTCTTTTGTGCTACCAGTGCCTGTAAAACAGCACCTATGTCGTATACCCCCCCCCCTTTTTTTCAGAATCGGGCTGTTTAGTGAGAAGACCTTGACTTGGGTGACAGGCAGACCGTTTAGGAGGTGCTCTTAACCCAATTAACGCGGGATTCTGTATTCGACAGATTAAGTGATATTGCAGGTGTAAAATATTCCGAGAGCTTATACGCGGGGAGGATGACGTAAATTCCCCGCATCTACAGTTTTGTATGGCTCTGAGTGGGGGCTTTATCACTGAGGATCAGATAGACGGGCATCCATAGAAAATACAGTATAAGCGGTGAAGAGGTATGAAAATTCAGTTCCCAACCATTTATCCCCCCACCTAACTGCCACGAAAGCGATGGACGTGTGGATACGAAGAAGTTCAAGAATCTGTGGAGTCAGCTCGCAAAGGACGGCTGGAAGGCAAGGCCGCCGACGGGGCTGAACGTCGGGCACACGTACGTAAAGCCTGGTGTGAAGGGCAAGCTTCGCAAGGAACGCGTCAATGCGGACTATTTTTGTGGTACGATGATCGGTATATTCTATTGGTAAATTGTGTACTAAATGTGCATGATTTCTAGGGACGAAAAGCCTATGGTAGTACGCATGTCGTTTCGGTTTAGTAGAACCAGCCGTCAACGAGTTTCCAGTACCCGTTGGACGGCCGCCAATAGGGAAACAAGCGGCGTACACAGCAGCGCAGCGGCAAATACCGACGGCAGCACCAGAACGCGACGAACATTCAGATCTAGGTGGTCAATCTGGCGGTGTTACTCCTGCGGCTGCAGCGCAAGGGTCTGGCGGTGTCACTCCTGTGGCTACAGAGCAAGGTGGTAAGCATGGCGGTGTTTCTCCTGTGGCTACAGAACAATGTCATCGGTCTGGTCGCAGTTCTCCGTCTGGTACAGAACAAGCGAGACGAGCAGATCACAGTAACAGCTCTCGTACGGAAGCGATCGCTTCGGATGATGATTCCATAATCGATGTCAGCGAGGAGGCCAAGACGGACGATGGGCCAGACGATCTGACAGCCTTTGATCGTGATAACTTCATGGATGCTATGCGTGCAGAGAATCTATTCCCCCTCCTGCCCTGGACGATATCAACGTTGGGAGCGAAGCCTTCTCAGTTAGTGATGATTCAGACGAGGAAGATTCTGCTTTCTGCGACTTTGATCCTGATCTGGAGGAATACATGGACGAAGTCGAATCTGATTCCGACTTTGAAGACGAAGGTGAAGCTTTTCAGCAAGACGACGACGAAATGAAAGGGCTCGAGTGGGAAGTCTTCAATCAAGATCATTGCGGTACGTCTGTCGTCTACAGAATACGAGTTTCCAAAAACTAACTTATTCTGTATGGATATGGCAATAGCTGATTTGAAGTTGAACGAGGCGACTTTATACAGTGGAAGGTGGGGCACCAAATCTGCCGCAGCATTTGCAGAATCACCGATTGGAATGTTTTTCTTCTTCTTACCCAAGAAGTTGTGGACAAGCATTGCTGCAGAGCGTGAGGCCTACCGCCAACGGTCCATTCCAGCCATTGCCCAGAAAATAAGATAACTGCAGCTCACCGCCCAGGCAAACGACCCCAACAAGCGTGTCGAAGACCTGAGGGACATTGTCGACAGACTCAAGAGGCAGAAGCCCATCAGAGAGTACGAAATTGTACACGTCATCGGTCTGCTAGTGGCTCGGACAGTTTGTGGTCACACATATGGCCTCGAAAAGCATTGGACGGTTGGGGAAGATGGAGCTGTCCCACGGGGGACCTTTGGGAAGTACATGACACGAGACCGATTCAGGATGATAACAAGATTTCTCCACTTTACTAGCGACCAGGGCCAGACGGCTGACAAGGCATTCAAAGTTCGCCCTATCTTGCAAGTGAAAGAGAAGACTTTTCGTCGGGGTTATCGTCTTGGCCCCGTGGTCAGCTTTGATGAAGACACAATCCCGAATCGAAGTCAGTACAACCCGATCCGTGTGTATAACAAGGATAAACCCCATAAGTATGGGACCAAGTGCTACATGACGTGCTGCGCCGAGACGGGTTACTGCGCAAGGTGAGCTAATATTTCTGCATACGACAGAATAACGAATGCTGTAGGCAATCTAGTTCTGTATAGCTACAGCATCAAGCAACGAACTACAATCGTAATGGTATTCTGTATGATGCAGAGTTGAAGTTTATCTAGGAGCTAAACCAGACAAGAGGAAGAAGCAAGGCTAGTCACAGAGAGCCGTCATCAGCAATATCACAAAAACGTTTGACGGACAGGCGAGCCAGAGATTGATTGTAGCGGATAAATTCTACAGCTCGCCTGCGTTGGCACTCGCGCTGCTGACTTTGCGGTTCTACTACGTCGGTACTCAGCGTTCGGACAGACTTGGGTGGCCGTCAGATCTCATGTTCCCACAGAAGAAAAGGCCGCAGTACATGTCGAGGGGGACGTACAGGATAGCGCAATGCAGACAGTACCCAGCACTTGTTGCCACGGCCTGGATGGACTCCAGACCTGTGCATCTGATCGCCACGGGGTGCTCCACCACGCAGACCCACGTGACGAGGAAGGACTAGAAGACATGAGCTCTCACACAGGTTCCGTGCCCGCAACTTATCGCAGACTACCATTCTGGAATGGGTGGCGTGAACACCCACGACCAGATCCACCTTCAACGGTATTCGATACAGCGTTGCGTGGCATTCAAGAACTACTACTGCCAACGATTTCTCGCCTTCATAGATATGGCACTCGTCAATGGCTTCATTCTTCACACGATGGTAATGAAGCGGAAAGGTAAGCGTGCGCCCACGTATGCGGAGTACATGCGGCAGCTTCACGTGGAGTTACTTGCAGTTACGGCTATAAGCTTCCGTACCAACCAACACGCAGAAGATCTGGCGAGTGTGCCGAACGGAAATCTTGACCACGTGCTGCGCGCACTGATGAACTATACAAGGCTAAATTCGGCAAGAGCAAAGGGAAGAGCAAAACTCGACAGCATCTCTGCAAAGTGAGCCCACCCAAGGTGAAAAGGTTCGAGAGCAGGTTCGAACCTACTGTCGTGAATACTCGGAGGCTCTTGAAGGATATATTCCTTTGTGTAACACGATTCGGCGCTCGGAAACGGGGAATGCATTGACGTGCAGCCAAATATGGCACGGATCGTGGGGTAGTGGGGCTGCTACTCCGGCACATATGCGGGGGCGAATTCGCCTACGGTAGCGAAAGCTGGAGGAACTTAATGAGGAAGACAGCGATAACGAGTAGCATATGCACTAATAGCAAACCTGGTGTGGTGTTGGAAGAATGAGGTCTGACACACGCCAACTTCTTCCTCTCTTCTTGCGCTCACCAAATTTCGACCGGTTCCCTCCTACTACTTCCTGCTAAGTCTAGAACTGGTCGAAAATTTGAGCGCGCTCCATCACCTCGTGCTCACCACCACTAAAGCCACGGCGACGCCGTGACGCATTTGGAGAACTCTGATCACTTTGAGCAGGAGATCAACACAGAGATGGTTGCGCATCGCGCCATATGCAAACTTGCCCAATTGCGAGCGTAAGATTTTCCACGTTGTGGATACATTGTAGATACTTTGTTCACATGCGTAGCTTTTTTGCGTCTGTTCGCAGCGTCTATCACGTCAAGGGCTTGGAACAGATAAATCGCTGCGATCTTCCAACCATAGTTTAACCAAGTAATTCCCTTGTTCTGTCTAATACAAATTATTTCCTCGCGTTAATTGGGTTAAGTAAATGTAAAGTTTGTTTGTTTCTGTTGTTTTCTCTTCTTTGCTGAACGGAGAAAATGTACGACTGACTGGCGAAAGTATTCGTCGGAACACCTTCAAAATCCTCATATATTAATAGATGACACGACGCCGCTGCAGCTATGTAACGGGGTACGTATTCCCAAGTGTACCCCTAGCTACATGAAGTATGACACATCACACTTCGGGATGTCTGGTACATGGTACCAGGGTCGTCCGAGGTCAACCATTGGCTAATTACATTGCTTTTCTATAGGTGAGTTTTAGTTTGTTTATTTAACTCAAGCTTAGCCTACCTATAAATATATTCAGCTTACAACTTACCTTAAATTGGTCACTTCGCTCCCTTAGGCAAAAGGGACATGTGAACTGCCGTTCACGGATGGTTTGTATACTCTCGGAAGCCAACTTCCTCTGGCGCAAGGTGCTGTGTGACCCGTCACACTTGGTAGCACTTGTAGTCAATCCACGCCAACGCGGGTAGACTACCTGAACCTCCCTGAAGTTCTTCGCCATGGATAGGAACGACTTCTCCCATCTCTACGACTCACAGCTCGAGTCGGTTCGGAAGATGGCAGGCATCTTCGGGATGGAAGCCCTGCAGAGCCTGGTGGTGTCAATGCCGGCCGAGCAGCTCGAGCGTGTCAATGCGTTTGACGCTTCCGAGCAGGGGCTCATCGCACATGTGCGGGAGAGTGCCCCGGGTCACATAAAGAGTGACCCGTCACTCTTGTGGACACCTGGAACACGGTACCAGGTGCTCTCGGAGCCAGTCAGAGCATGACTACTTAGCTCCACTATAGGTAACCTCTAGTTTGTATGAAACCCAAGCTAACCTTACTTATAAATACATCAGTCTTAAATCTACTCTTCTAAGTAGCAAACCGTTCCCTTTGAGGCCGGGAACACGTGGACTAACGTTCACTCGGGTAGTTAATACCCTTAAGCACTTCCTCTGTGCAAGGTGCTGTGGGACCCCATCACACTTGGTAGCACTCGTAGTCAATCCAACACCACCGCGGGTAGATTGAACTACCTGAATCCTCTGTGCGCT